GTATTCGAGTTAATGCTTGTGTGTGTAATGAATGATAAATTTTATATATCCATTGACATGGTAAAAATAAATTGTAATCAACAAAACCTTAAAATCAACAAGTAGCTAATAACTAACTTAATGTAATAAAATCGACTTATTCATTCAAATTCGAAATAAGCTACGTAGTTATTATCTCTACAAAATACATACTTAGCAAAAGTCGACGCAATTGCTTGACGAACACGTATATCAGGATACTGTTATTTTAATTGTTGTTGTTGTTGTTCAAGATAAGTTAATATTCGAAAATCAATATCATCTATAAGTTGACCTAGAGCAAACTATTTTATATACATACAAAAAAAAAATTATTATAATCATAAATTTCTTTTATCTACTTTAGCAAGAACATAGAAACTTGTAGTTTGTTGAATAGAATCTTCTAATAATTCAATTCCTATGATTGTAAATGCATGACTATTAATTAATAAAAAAGATAATAATGTTCGTAACGCATTTAGTGAAACATGTATAAGACGTGCATTATTATCATTAAGACATATAACCTTGAACTGTCCTTGTGAATCAGTTGATATAAGTGAACATTAATTAATAAAAGAACTATTAAATGAATTTGATAATAATGATAATGTTAAAAGATGATTTGTTGTTTGAATTAATATAACAAGTAAATTTGCACATGCACCACGTAAATGTAGATCACTGTATTCTCATAAAGATAAAAGATATGTAATATCTTAAAGATCAGATCAGATAGATGCCTTATCTGTTACAGACGTTGGCTAACATGATACGCCAATTCTTCCGATCTTGTGCTGCGTGAAGAAAGTCTATTTTCGCATAACCTTGTTTTTCAATCCATAGATTCATGTTTTCTAGATATTTGATTCTAGGTCGGCCTTTATCTTTCTTTCCATTGATTTTCCCACTCAATACCAGATGTTCTATGCAACCTTTACGGATTATGTGGCCAAGGAATTTTAGTTGCCTATAACGGATGGTATTGATTAAAAGTCTTTTCGATTTCGTTCTTTTTAATATTGATTCGTTTGTTTCTCTAGCAGTCCAAGGTACATTAAGCATCCTTCTGAGAAACCACATTTCAGTAGCCTCTAAGCGTTTTTCCATTTCTTTACTGATTGTCCAACATTCGGAACCGTATAGCAGAATCGACCAAACGTAACATCTGAGTACTCTTGTTTTAGTGTCGATCGATAGGGTTCTATTTTTCAGAACTGGACTCATCTTTTGGAACGCTTGTTTAGAGAGAGCTATTCTCATTTTGGTGTCTTCATCGCATCTACCATCTGAGGTTATGACGGATCCCAAATAATTGAAGCGATTTACTTGCTTGATTGATTCTCTATTTATGTAAACTTTGCATGTCGGTGTGATTTTATTCTTTGAAACACACATACATTCTGTTTTCTTGATATTGAGTGATAGTCCCATTTTTAGGCTTTCTTTTGAGACTATATCAATCATTTTCTGTAGGTCTTGTTCATTACTTGCCAATAGTACGGTGTCGTCTGCATATCTTATATTATTACAATTTTTACCTCCAATTTTTATTCCTTCAACATCTTCTAGATTTCTAAGTATCATTTCATGATATATGTTGAAAAGATCTGGAGATAGAACACAACCTTGTCTGACACCTCTCTTTATACCTGTATAGTCACTAGTATCGTTATTTATTCGTATGGCAGCTTTTTGATCCCAATAAAGATTTCGAATTATTCGTAGTTCCTTGCCATCGATGTCGAGTTTTTCCAAAATTTGGAATAGACTGTCGTGTTTGACTTTATCAAAAGCTTTTGTGTAGTCAAGGAAACATAGGTATAGATCATGTTTGACTTCAATTGATCTTTCGATTATTGTTCGAAGGATGAAGATTGCATTTCTAGTGCCCTTATCAGGCATAAATCCATATTGTTCTTTTGCTATTTCTGGCGTGATCTTATTTTTCATACGCATCATCAGAATCTTAAGCAAAACTTTTGTGATATGACTCATGAGACTGATTGTGCGATGTAATTCACATTCAGTAGCTCCAGGCTTCTTTGGAAGCGCTATGAATATTGATTTTGTTAGATCTTCCGGAATTTCACCTGTGTCATATATTTTGTTTATTAGTTTTGTCATGACATCTACACCTAGTTCATCGAGACATTGAATCATTTCGATGGATATTCCATCTGGCCCTGTCGCTTTGTTTGTTTTCATTGATTTTATGGCCAGTCTTACTTCATCTTTCATTATTGGAGGTCCTTCTATATTTTTCTTTATGTTAGGTTTAGAAGTTCTATTGTCGTCGAAGAGTTCCTCTATGTATTCTGTCCACCTGTTCAGTATGTCACCTTTTTCCATAAGAACGGTTCCATTTTTTGATTTGATACAACCTGAACTGGTGCATTTTGATTTTCCTGTTATTTCGTTAATCTTTTGATGAGCAAATTTCGTGTTTACACTCAGCTTGTTTTCGATCTCTGAGCATTGTTCGTTCAGCCATTTCTCTTTTGCTTCTGAACATTTCTTTTTGATTGCTTTGTCTATCAATTTGTATTCTTGGAGGTTTGACTTCTTCAGTCGTCTTTGCTCCATTAGTTGTAAAATTTCATTAGTCATCCATCGTTTCTTTTTCTTTAAATGTGTTTTAGGAATTACTTCTTCAGCAGATGTTAGTATGAATGATTTCATCTGTTCCCACAATATCTCGGTTTCTGTGATTTCATCTAGTGCTTCAAAACGATTTTGTACTTTTATGCGGAATTTTTCTTTCAGATCTGGATCACTTTTCAGAATATGAACTTGAAGCTTTGTATTTCTTTGTGGTTGTTTTATTCTTTTTAATTTCACTCGAATTTTACTGATGACTGGGACATGATCGCTACCACAGTCTGCTCCAGGAAATGCTTTGGAGAAAATGATTGAATTCCTGAATCGATGAGGGACCATAATATAATCTATTTGATTTCTTGCCCGGTCTCCTGGGCTTCGCCATGTCCATAGTCTACGTGGGTGGTTTTTAAACCATGTGTTTGTGATTACGAGATTACGTGATTGGCACCAGGTTATCAAGTTATCTCCTCTGTCATTTTTGTTTCCTAGACCGAAGGGTCCTACTGTATTGCCAATTCTTTTATCTCCCACTTTTGCATTGAAATCACCCATTACGTAGATGATATCATCAGACTTGCATTGTTTGTAGGCTTTGTCTAGATCTTCGTAGAAGCTCGTGATTGCATCATCATCATAATCAGCGGTTGGTGCGTAACATTGAATTAGTGAGATGTTGAAAGGTTTTCCGTAGAGTTTTACAAGAAGAACCCTGTCTGAAACCGCCCAAAAGCCTTGCAAACTCTTGGAGGTTTCTTTGTCAAGAAGCATTCCTACTCCTCTCTCGTGTTTGTCTCCTCCAGAGTATAATAAAAGAAAGTTATCCGTTGTAAAGGATCCAGCACCCAGCCATCTGACTTCAGATAAGCCTAACGCATTTACTTTCATCCGTTCCATTTCGTTCTTTATATTGTCTAATTTTCCTTTCTGGAACATAGTTCTTACATTCCACATTCCTATTTTGAGTGAGTTCTTGGTTGGGACAGTAGCCTGTTGACGATCGAGGGTCACCTGTCGTACATGATCACCTCTACCGAGCGAGATGTTCTCTCCGAGAACCCCCTTCACGCTGTTATCTTGTCTGGAAATCTTGACGTTTTTCATGTTGTGCTTGGGAGTGTACAGCGGTGGTTTCCCCTTGCCTTCCGCCGGTTTAGAATGGTTTTCTCCATTTGATGAAATTGCTATTCAAGGCTAGCGAGCTTCATCGACCCAGGATAAGGCTTATGAAATCTCGATTCGGGGGGAATCTTGTTTCTGGCAGCCTATACTCGCCCTGTCATCCTGTCGTCTTTGGGTTTCTGTGGCATTTTATAAGAGTTTCGGTTCCAATCAAAACCCCACCACACCCTGTTGGCAAGAAGGCTGAGTATTGTCCGGGACTGTTTATTTGATCAATCGCTTGATCTTATTCGCAGCTAACCATCGTACTAATGGTCGTTCCACTATCCGCAACCTGTGGACCCGCTTGGTAGCATCCAGCTTAGCCCCAAGAATATCTTAAAGAAAAGAAAAAAAAGATACCTTGATGTTCGATAAATTTTAATGTATTTCAAGTCATATAGAGATGTGAATTTCATGTTTTCCTTTAGAGAATTCTATTTCAATTACAAAATTTTTATTTAATCAGAAATCTTCAAAGACTAAAGAAAAACACCTTAGAGGATACAATTGATTTCATATCTCGAACTTCGGCTTAGAACTGTTTTTTGAGGTAGTTATGTGATTGTATAATTTCAATCTCTGATGTATAAATGCAGGCTTTGAGCTTCAATAAAGTGTTCTACTTGATATCTTTTCGAGTCTGATAATGTTCTAGTCTTTTGTTGATTTCAAAAAAATTAAAAGTAGGAATAGGACTAGAGTTGCTGAATCAATATCGAGAAATCTCCATTCTTGAATTTTCAGATTCCAATATATATATATGTTTCAACAATTTAATAGTGAAATTGTCATATCTATCAGATAACTTTCACTAAAACTTTGAGACCTTAACCAATTGTAGCGACATCAACTAAACTCTGCCACAATCCCCTTCAACTAAGCCGTCCTACTGTTACGACATTAGAACTAATTTTGGATTATAAAATAGATCTATTTTACTGAAATGAAACTTTACAAAAAGAAGCCTCAAACAAGAATTAAACATACTTTCAGTAAGATAAACAAATGGATCAAATTGTTTATAAATACGATAGACATATTGCTATAGCACATTTAACACTAATACATGATTCATCATCACTTTATCGTACCATCCATATTAAGCATATATCTAATCGGAAAAAATATAATTGATTAACAAGTTTAGCAGCTCATGTTCGTTTTTCATTATCAATCATTGATGTTGAATCGAATTCATCATTCATTTCAATAAATCAACGTTGATATGTTGAATAAGCTATTGTTTTAGAAAAAAAAACAAATGAAAAAAAAATTCTTGTTTTTTTTCTCAATATTTACATGTTTTTAAGACTTCACTAACACAAGTTTTTTCTATAGATCCAATTTGGGTTGAAATTAATAATTGATCAAAATCAAATAAATCTGAATAACCAAGTAATTGATCTATTAAAATAAAAGACAGTTATAATGGATTGAAATTATTATTTGAAAGAAAACTTACTAATTGCATTTGTCATTAGAAAACGTGCTATAACCATAGGATAACACATTTGCTGACTAGGCCATGAGAAGTTTCTAAGAATAGTTTAGTCATTGATTATATATTTCAAAAGAAAATTATTTATTGTTAATATTAGAAAAAGAAAAATTCGTTCTCACTCGACTTCATACTTTAACTATAACGATAGCCAGTGAACTCCTATGACTAAACCATTCTTAAGTTGCATGAAACTACGCTCGATTACTTTCGAGGGCAGATCGCTTCAAATGACAGACAGTTTCTCAGTTCGTATTTCGTCAAATAGTATCAGAGTGCCTATTCTACATTTTCTGAAAAAACATCCTCTCATGCTAGAAATTTTAACCGAAACATGGTAGAGCAATTCTTTTCTATGTTTCTATTCAACCGTATGACATTTTTCTGATTACTTCTTTAAAAAACTTGTCATAGATGACACAAATGTTTGTTTTACTTACTTTAGTTTCTTTATCATTAATCGATCGACCAAGACTACGAAAAATAAGTTTATAATATTCTCATAAAATGGTTGAATCTTTTTCGGATGTATTACATCTGCTAATTCGGCAAATCACCACAGAACATCTAATCGAAATTAAAAAAAAATCCTTATTATATATTTAAGTCAAATAATAAAAATAACCTTTTAAAGCATTTGGTTCAACATTAGGATTATGTTTTATAATTCGATGTAATTCAACTTGAATTCTTGTTAAAACTGCTTCTTTTAAATTCTATTTTATAATTCATACAAAATTATACAAAAAAAGAATTTCTTTTATAATACTTTTTAACAAATTTATTAAGATTTTCTTCGACAGTCAATCGTACATTATAATCATTTTCATCACATGTTGTAAATAATGTTTCCACACTAGCTTTAATTAATTTAAAATAATTTCCTTGTTACCTCTAGATGAGAAAAACATTCTATAAGAGATATAAACAAAATGAAAAACAGAAAAAGATCCAATTATTTACTTGATTATTAATATTTTTGATGCTGTTGTTGAAAGTAATTTTAAAAATTCAAGTGATTTATTGAGTTTATCCATGTTGTTTAATTTATATTCAATTCATTTATTTTAAACACCACATTATTTGATAATCATAACGAATGAATGAATAGTCGACTGAAAAAGCCTAACATCGATTGAATATTCATAAACACCATTGACATTTCTATTTTTTCTATTAATAGATAGTGCTAGATTACAACTTTATAAAATAAGACTATAAATTGAAAACCTTATCATCAACCAAAATTCTTATAACTAAAATATCGTCTTTGCTACACGTTCAACAGGGATATGTTGTAAATACTAAAAGTGAGTCTAAAGCCATTATTTTGCGCTGGTGTAGGTGTGGAAGTGGGTGTGGATCGAAGTACTTCATTTATTGACATCCTTCCATCTAGAGTCAAACTCTTTGCCACAGCCATCGTCATGCTACTCACCCACAGCCCACACTCACCACATAATATCTACTGACTGTGTGGGAAAAAACTTTTATGACTCCAACAACAATGAGAACCACATGAATAAATTCTTTTTATCATATTTCGTTTTCTTTGCTTTGAATGACAATGCATTTTATTTTCATTTTGTTATCTCTTGCTTGCTTGACGCACAGAAACTTCGTCAACACTCTTGAAACAGAGGAAAGATAAGAAGTCTTTCATGCAATAAACGAAACACGTTCGCTCTTAAAACAAGTGGCTATAAAAATTGCCAACAAAAGGAAGAAACAAACAACCATATCTATATATATAGATAGAGAAAGTGGGATGAAGTATATTTGTCTTCGTATCACTATCGTCAACTAACTATTACATTTTTATTCACTTATTTTCGCTCGCTAATAAAGAATACAATTATCATAGAAATGGACAAAAAGAAATCAACATCAAGTGCTAGTGCCTCTTCTTCGTCGCTGTCGTCATCAGCCACGCCGAGTAAGCCGAAAAACTCCTTATTGGTACCATCATCAACAAGTTATGCTGCTGCTGTCGGTAAGAGTGAAGCAACAAAAAACATACAGAGAAATACCGTGCTAGCCCGCCCCGTACGCCGGGTTCTTCAAAATTTCCTTTTGGTATGGCTCGATGCCAATTTTGATGAATCAGGCAGTGATTTTAAAAATTCGTTGCAACATCTTCGAAAAGTTGTGGCGTCTATCACAATGTTTAAGGATGCTCAAGAATGTGTCAGTTTCCTAAGTGAAATTGAAAGGGAAAAGGTATTTATGATCGTATCAGGTTCCTTGGGTCTTCAAATAGTACCAGAAATAGAAGCATGGCCACAACTGGAAGCAATTTATGTATTTTGTGGTAACCAATCGATTCATGAACAATGGGCTAAAAAAATAAGCAAGGTTAAGGGTGTATACACAAAAATAGAACCAATTTGTCAAGCACTTGAAATCGATCGACAACGTTGTGATCAAGCTATGATCCCGATCAGCTTTAATGGTCGTGATGCATTATTTATGTATACACAACTTTTAAAAGAAGCACTTTTGGAAATTGAAGATGACGATGTCAAATCGATTAAAGATCTAGTAGAATACTGTAGTCTGCAAAATGATGTTGATGACGATGAAATACAAAAAGTGCAACGAGAATACCGAAACCATACACCAATTTGGTGGTATACGGCTCCTTATTTCATGTACTCAATGCTCAATCGGGGACTCCGAGAAATGGATGTTGACATCATCCTTAAAATGGGCTTCTTCATACGTCATTTACATCAACATATTACCGAACTACATCGCGAACAAAAAACCAGCATTCCAGCAAAATTTCAAGTCTTCCGTGGGCAAGGTTTGTCCATGGAAGATTTTGAAAAACTGAAAACAACCAAAGGAGGACTTATGTCCTTCAATAATTTTCTGTCAACAAGTCGAAATCGCGAGATTTCACTGGAAAATTTTGCACGGCCAGCTACACAGAATCCCACTTCAGTTGGTATTCTCTTCGTTATGACCATTGACACGGCTATCTGTACAAAATCCTCAACACCATTTGCTGAAGTAACTAACAAAGTTGGCTTCTATGAAGACAAGGAGGAAGAAATACTTTTTACAACACATGCGATTTTTCGTATCGATCGCATTGAACGAATTGAAGACAAGAATGCTGATCGCTTATGGCAAGTTAATCTCACTCTTGTGGGTAATCAAGATGATGACTTTAACAAACTCACATCAGCGCTGCGAAAAGAGTTCACTTGGGTAACAGGATGGGCTCGGTTCGGTGATATACTCATTAGTCTCGGAGAGTCTGGAAAAGCAGAACATCTCTGTAAGATACTCCTCGAAAATGCATCTACTGATAAAGCGCGATCAGATTATAATCTTCAGCTTGGTATGGTGTATAACAACACAGGTGAGTACTCGAAAGCACTTTTACATTACGAAAAGGCACTTGATATCGACCAGAGGGCTCTTCCACCAAATCATCCCGACTTGTCTTCTGACTACAACAACATCGGCTTGGTGTATTATTACATGGGCGAGTACTCGAAAGCACTTTCATCGTACGAAAGATCACTTGAAATCCGTAAAATAGCTCTCCCTCCGAATCATCCCGACTTGGCTTCTTCCTACGACGGTATCGGGTTGGTGTATGATAACATGGGCGAATACTCAAAAGCACTTTCATCGCACGAACGATCACTTGAAATCCGAAAAATAGCTCTCCCTTCGAATCATCCCGACTTGGCTAGTTCCTACAACAACATCGGCGAAGTGTATAGAAACATGGGCGAGTACTCAGAAGCACTTTCATTGTACGAAAGATCACTTGAAATCCGTAAAATAGCTCTCCCTCCGAATCATCGCGACTTGGCTTCTTCCTACGAAGGTATCGGGTTGGTGTATGATAACATGGGCGAGTACTCAAAAGCACTTTCATCGCACGAACGATCACTTGAAATCCGTAAAATCGCTCTCCCTGCGAATCATCCCGACTTGGCTTCCTCCTACAACAACATCGGAGAAGTTTATAACCACATGAGTCAGTGCTCGAAAGCGCTTCCCTTCTTTGAGCGAGCACTCGATATTCTGGAATTGACTCTACCTGCGAGCCATCCCGATTTGGCATATCCGTATAACAACATTGGTTTGGTTCATAAAAACATGGGTGATTACACAAAAGCACTTTCCTTTCTACAAAAAGCATTTGATCTCCGCTGATCTGGAATCGATCAGATCGGAAGAGCGTCTTGTGAGTCACAAAATAACATTGACCGAGTGAAAAACAAAATGTAATTTTTTTTTTATATAAACAGAAAATAAAATGGCCTTCTTCGAAGTTGGCTCGCTGAAGAGCAGCAGTTGCAACATTTCGCGCACGCATGAGCAGACATATCCTCCGTATCCTGCTGACTCGTACAGTGGACAAAGCCGGCAATGGTTAGGCAAACATACATCGATGTATGTATAAATAGTACGTCCATGATCATCATCTTCGAAAAGACGATGACGAAATGGACGCTTCTATTCATACACACATTGATGTATGCTATGAAGGCCTACCATCTGCACGCCTGCACAGGTCACCAACAGAACGTCGGATATCCCTGGGAAGGTTCATTTGTTTAGAGCCACCCTCAAAAGCTCCATTGCTTAGAAAATTATTTTTATTCGTCTGTTACGAAGAACAAGACGAAGTAGAAACGGAAGAAATAAATGGTATGAAAACGGAAAGATGCGATAAAAGACGACGTCGACGTTACGGAATGATAATACGCAGCGCATGATAACA